ATTACAATTTAGAAATTATTTCAATTACTAACCATGATTCTTAAAATAAATATCTATACCCAATAGCATGGTGAGTGAACACACACACACACACACACACACACACACACACACACACCTTTGTGTAGATGCACAAAAAAAGTAAATTATTTTACATATTGCCTCATGGTCTAACACTTCTAAAAATACATGCTTAGGTAGCACGCTGCATCTCCCTAGATTTGTAACATCTGAAAAATATAGTCTTTAATCTATTTTATGTACATTTTACAATAGAGATTCTTTCAATACCTTATTTACATTTGTATGCAGGTAAAGAAAGAAGGAAATGGTCTAAGTACATTATATCATTTCAACGACTTTTATTGGGAGAAGGAATAGCATGTAACCAAACAGTGACTACATTTTTATTATTCAGTGATGTACTTACAGATATAAAGAGACCTTGTTCAGTCCAATGCAGGTACCACTTAAAAACTGTAAGAACGATGCTATGAGTTCTGGGGGTTGAATCAAACCTGTGATACTCACCATACTGTGTAACAAATGCTATACAGCTGTTCACGATAATGGGAACGTCTTTTTTGCTGAGCTGCTGATCTTGTAATGCATTGCCATCTGTACCTGCTGCTTTTTCAATTGCAGAATGCCAGACTGTGAAATCCAGCTTCGTATGCCCATGGATGTATAATGTTCTGCAAAATTTAAAAAGCATTTCAAATTATAATTTTGCTTTAAAAAAAAAAAAAACTCTTCCTTCTAGACAGATGATCCTAAAATCCAAATACATATGACCTTGTCTCACCCATAAGAAGAAAAACCCTTCATCTACCACTAGTTTCCACTCAAGCCCTCTTTTGCCTGTACAGTCACGTCTCTCCAAAGAGGAGAGGAACTTCTCTGAATTTGTGGTCACATCTCCTTTCATTACCAACCCCTTTTATTCTCTTTCCAAATAGCTGAACTGAAACTTTTCTGGCAAGCATCACCAGTGATTTCTAATGGATGTTTTTGGCTGTATGTTTCAAGATGTTAGAACTGATAACTTCATTTCTTAAACCAACAAAAAGAGAGGGAGGAGGGGTGGGGGAGGGAGAGAGGGAAGGAGGAAAGGGAGGAGGGGGTAGGCGGGAAGGTGGAAGAGGGGCAGGGGGAGAATGAGGGCAGGGGGAGAATGAGGTCCGGGGGAAACCTCGCATTTCATTTGGCTTGGTAGCATGCTTCTTTCTGGCTTTTCCTCCCATCTTTCTGGTCACTCGGTTTCTTTCCCAAACTCACTTTCTCCTGGAAATGAAGTTGTAACCTCAGTGCACTCATGAACTCTAAGGACTCCTCAGTGGTCCATGCCCCGAATAGAAGTTGGTAACTCCCACACCCTTATCTCCAGGCTATAACTTTGTCTCACAAACAAGGTCTCCTTGTGATCCAAAAGCAGGAGAAGAATACAGCTAAGAGAGTGGGAAGGTCAATCACTTTCCAAAGTCAAATTTTAGCGCTGCGCTTACTTCCTTTGGGACCTCAGACAAGTTATTAGGCCTCTTTGGGCCTCGGGTTCATCATTGGCAAAATGAAGATAATAATGGTACCTACCTTAGCACTTGATAAATGCAGTATTAGTAGCTGAGTAACAAACCATAAGACTGACTAACATTAATTTTGGGACACTCTCACCTCAGCATGCCACAAGCATCTCAAACCTTTCTGCCTCCTCATACCAACGAACTACGGTTCTCCAGTCATCCCACCAGGAATTTAGGATTAATTGTAGATCGGTCCCTCTCACTCCACCTCGTCACTTCCTCATGAACTCAGTCACCAAATTCTGTTGGTCCCAGCTCGCTGGCACGCTTGCTCGGCCTCCTCTTCATTCCAACACTACCTCATCTCGGGTCCTTACATGGCTCCCTGAGGTCACTGAAACCCCTTTGAAGAGAATTCCTTTCCCAATTCTCTACCTCTTAATCCCTTGTCCCTCAGGACTGCCCAGAAAGATCTTCCTAAAATGTAAAGCTAATGACTTCCCTTCCTGATTACTGTTGTTCTGCAGCTCTGGAGTTTTCAAGGTTTGAAAGGCCTGCATTTCCCCTTCAACTTTGCCACTCCGCTCCACTCAACACACGCTAAAAACATGCCATCTCCTTATCCTCGTAATAAATTTCCCTGCTCTTCGGCTGGCGACTCCCTCTCTTCCTCAGTGACCTCCCTGACATTGTCCCTGAGTCCCTCCTGCGCTTAGTATATAACAGGTGTGCCTTCTTAACCCTGAGCTGCCGCTCTGCCCTCCATTCCACCATCTGTGAATATTTTAGCTGCTGAACCCCAAACTTCATTCGCATGAGCAAGGAAAGCATTCCAGTATCTCCAGTCATCAGCACAGTGCCTGGCATTTAGTGGGTACATCATCAAGTCCTATCACCAGATAGAAAAACCGATTAGAAACACCAGTTACACTCATCACCGATGCATTTAAGTGTATCTATACCAAAGAAAAACAAGTTACTCTCGAGTCCAAACTATGAGAGGGCTACTTTGGATTCAACCCCAAGCGACAGGAATGAACTCAGCCATGTGAACTCTGAGTTGCTATTTTGTTTGTTTGTTTGTTTGCTTCTCTGTTGGTTTATTTTTTTTTCAAATTCCTGAAAATTCACTGGCCTTAATTTGAAAAGAAAATAAAAGTCCTCCTTTTTTTTTCCCTTTGGTTTCCTTTCTTGAAACGCTCCGCTAAGAGGACAAAGCTATTGTCCACACTCACTGCTACCACGTTTGAACTTGCTGTAAGGGCTAGTACTTCACTGAGGTCGCACCTGCCATCTTCATCACTTGCTTTCTGATGACTTTATCTAGTGTTATATTTTCCACATCACTACAGCAGCCATGACCTCCAGGTTCTGTAATTTTCTTTTTGAAGAATTCTGACACTCTAATATTCTTGACATGCTTTAGCCTTTTGGTTTCTCTTATGTCATCTTTAGCTCAAAAGCATTCTATTGCTGGTATCTTTGTCTCAATGAAACTGCACAGCTCAGGTAATGTCCCTGAAAAATATCAAGCGCCTACATTCTCAGACCTAACAAAAATGGATGTCTTGCCAAATTTAGAAGTTTAGGGAAAGAGAAAATGTTAACTTTGAGTCTTAACTTTTTTGTGTTTGTTTTTTTTTTCCAACCTGATGATTAAGCTCTAAATTTGATATAAAAATATTTGAATATATTGCTTTTCAACAAACCGCTACAATGGGTATTTCAGAAACCAGTGAAAGAAATCCAAGATGCAATGGGCCTCCTACAGTGCCAGTATAATCATGCCATTAACTGTGAATGTTGTAAACTTCGAACTTTCTTTCTAGTCAGAAGAAATGCCACAATGACAAGTTTAGCTGTCTCCTTGTGAACAACTGAGGGGTAGAACGAGTAATGACAAGTTAAATCCGAGTCAACTTGTCAAAGACTGAGTCCTAAAAATATAGCATCTAGTGTAGTGGATGTTTGACATTTAACTGCATCAGTTCAACAACTTTCCTCTCTGATGCTTATCTAAACTCCGCTCACATTGAACAAAACAGCAAAAGATATTTTCAGCACACAGGCTGGCGGAGTTTGTGATTTCCAGTGTTATCAAACAATGATTTTACATGTTTGGATAAGAATTCCAAAGAAACATTCATTTACATCTTGAAAATCTGAAAAGTTCTTTTGAAGAATGCTAATTATAGAGAGAATGAATCTAACTGTCCACTCCCCAAGCATACATGTGAAAGAGAACATCAAAAGCCAAGTAAAGAAACATCCCTGTATCCTATAATGAATCAAGACAGTTCAATAAGACCCAAAAACCAAGTCCCAGGGCTAATATAAAAACAATGTTCTCAAAACTGCAATATAATAACCAGTCTACGGACAAGAACCATAACTGTTTTCACAAATAATGGAATCAATAAATTTGACTGTATAAAAAATAAATTCACTTATACAACTAAATAACATTTTAAACACAACTAAAAAGCAAATAACAGAGTCCACAAATATGACTTAAAAAATAATATCCTAAGCATTGACACAAAAATAAAAGCACTGAGTCTTCTAGTATAAGGCAGCATTTGGTTGGCAAAAAAACAAAAAAAAATACTTTATTTTCTTTCATTTCTGAAAGATATTTTTGCTAAATAGAGTATTTTAAGTTAACAGCTGCTGGTTTGGTTATTTATTTATTTTTCTGTTTTTCCCAGCACTCTTAAAGGATTTCATTATGCCACCTTCTGGTTTACATGGTTTCTGACAAATGGTCTCATGTTTGGCCCCTATATTTAATGTATCTTTTCCTCTGGGGCTTTTCAATTTTGTTTCCCCTCACACTGGTTTTCAGGAATTTGATTATGATGTATCTTGATCTGGTTTGTCTTTATCATGCTTGAAGTATATTGATCTTAGTACATGTGTGGGTTTATAGTTTTTATCAAATTCAGAAAATGTTGGGCTACATTTCTTCAAAGTTGTTTTTTTTTTTTACCTCCATCTTTCTCTTATTTTTGGATTTTAATTATACTTACATGAGACTATTTGATATTCTCCCACAGGTCACTGAGGTTCTGTTGATTTTATCTAGTCTTTTCTTTCTGTGCTTCAGTTTTGATCATTTCCATTGTCATGCCTTCATGTTCACCGATCTTTTTTATGTTGAGTCTGCTCTTGGGTTAAGCCAATCCAGTGGAATTTTTTCAGATACCATATCCTTGAGCTTTAGAAGTTCCATTTGGTTCTTCTTTTAGTTATCTATTTTTTTCCTCACATTTGTGTTTTCCTTTACATCTTTACAGATGTAAAAGGTGCCCAATAAATATACAGAAAGTGCCCCAAAAAATGTATACACATTTTAAGAAAGGAAAACTGTATTAAAATTGTAATATTCAATATACACCGATAACAAATGATGAATACAAGTCACGTTTGACTTCTGCAATTACAAGAGGTGCTCAAAGTGGATACCATCAGCATCCAGACACTTCTGATTATAGCAAACTACTGCTTGAGCTATGCTGACCAAAGCATCCACTTGTATACAACTTTTTGGCACTCCCAGTATTCATAATATTTAAAAATCACTGTTTAGATTCTTTGCTAATTCCATTATCTTTCTCATTTCTGAGTCAGTTCCTATCCACTGATTTGTAGCTTTTCCACATCACTAGTAATTTGAACCACGTGCTCAATATGGTGAGTGTTACACTGAGTGCCAAGATTGTATTGTCTTCCTTTAAAGCGTTGATGTTTGTTTTGGTATCATTTGGCTGTTGGACCCAGGCAACTAAATTACTTGTGGGAACAGCTGATCCTATGGAGATCTATTTTTTAAGCTTAGTCAGGTAGAATGGGAACAGCCTTTACTGTAGGGCTGGTTTGGCCTGGGTACTATGGATTTACTTTTCTGGGGTCTTTACTAATGCCCTATGTGTCTACTGAGGTAGAAGATAGCTGAGTAGAATTTGAACATGCTCGAAAACTGTCTAAGTTCTGGGAATTGTTCAGTCCATAGCACTACCATGGGAGTTGTTTCTGTTTGGCCTCTTAGAGTTTCACCCTGCAAATATGCAGATTAGTATTGAGCCAAAGATGGAAGTGAACTCCTATGAAGATTTCTGAAACTCTTTCTCTACATGACTCCTTATCCTGCAAATTTCAGCGACTACAGATTCCCT